GATGATTTGTTTCAGGATCAATTGCTGATATCAAAACATCAAGCATATCTTTCACCAATATATCCTCACCATCAACATTGATCTTTTCTTTTCTTGTAGAAATTAGATTCCTTAAAGTTTCTTGTAAATAATTAATAGAATTTTGAACTTCTTCTTCACGTGGTGCTTCCAGCATACCAATTTGTTTATCAAATAAACCACCTAATACAATATCATATCCTTTTTTGAATGCTTTTAAATCAAGATCTTGTGGCTTATCTATACTATTATTGAAATAATTTGTAAAAAAAAACATATACAATGTTTATAAGTGTGATTTTTCCTTTTGTTACCTTATGATTACCCTCATTGTTGCTCGCAAAGCAAATTCAAGTGATTCATCTTGCATTCTAAATATGGTATCTTTATTTGAATCCAAGATTTTTTCCCATTGACTAATAAATCTAACTCCAATATCTCTCATTTGATTATATTTCATTAATAAAACTAATTTCATGATAATAATAATAACAATGAATACATACATACATATATTGTAATCAAAGATATAGTATACTTATTTATAAATATATTTATAACCTTCATGTCCTAAAGCTGGCCCAATCAATTTACGAAATTTGGCAGCTCTATCAGCTTCAAATATTTGTAAATTATCTTGCCCAAACATTGGTTCCAAAAATTTGAACAAAAAATTAGGTCTATCACCTATTGATAATGTTGATTTTATAATCAGAGGATCTGTCACAGAAATAGTATTCTCAAAAAGTGGTCCTCCAGGCTTTACTACATGACCTTGAGTTGAATGTAATTTACGTAGATAAGGAACAAGACCTGATGATGATAACTCGTCTTTATTCTTTGATTTATGAAAATAAGAATAAAAAACAAAATATATTGGAAGAAAGAGACATAAAATTAATATAACAAAATTCAAAGCTTTTTCTTGTATGAGTTTTTCAAAATCCATTTTCGAATGAGTTGTTCAAACTTTCAGGGATCAAAGCTGTTAACTGGTTGTACAGCATATTAATATATCAAAATTGGACAACTTAGAAATTTAATTTTTCAAGAATCGGTTTTTTAACAAAACTGCAAAACCGATTTACGATTAATGAACTGATAATCCAGTCCATAATAATAAAGTTTAATTTTGTGGGAGAGCAGTTTAATCGACGAGGGTCGGACGAATAGGTTTTATACTAACAAAGTTATTTAATTAATAAGATTATTTGTTTTTCAAATCGTGTCCATTAATTATAATGTAATAACTACGTGAAAGCATTTAAATACAAGAATGTAATTTACACGCAAATGAGATGTTATTACACTTGCACTACTTAATATAATAATAGTATATACAGTCACGGTCGCGTTTCCAACGAATCTATGGGGCACATAAGAAAGTTGTACTTAAACTTCGTAATACCAAATTACTAATCGCGTTTCAACGAATTTTATATATTTTCGAAATTATAATTCGTTGAATTGAGGTTTGACTAATTATAAATAGATAGTAAGCAATTCCGTTCTTCATTTTCAAAAAAAAGTTATTTGTAGGTACTTGGATCAATCAATTCAAAAATTCTTTTATTATATACTAAAACAAAAATAGAGATCTTTAAACTAGAGGTTGGATCAGTTTGTTAAATTCGATTGCCCGAAATAATCCGGTTTTTCGAATATGAAAAAATAGGAACTGAATTTACGTTGCAACCGGTGTTGTACATGGGACATGTCCGTCTAATATTAATATTGAGCAGACACGGACACTGTCCAAAAATGTCCGCGTAACAATTTGTCACGCGGACGTGTCCGCTCATTTTCTTAAATATCTTGGACTGTCCGGGACCAGTAGCACAAACCACAAGTTAAACGTGAGAAAATGCCTTTACCACCTTTATTAACTCAACATATTATTTAAAACTAAACCAAAGCAATCCAAAAACGGTTTGCGTTGAAAAATTAGGAGATGTGGAAGGGAAGAAAAAATGGTTTCCAAACAAAAAGGATCGAATAATTCAGCATTTAAAAATTTTTTTTGAAAAAACTAATGCTGATGAGCGAGCAAGAAAAATATATATCATCAATATCTGCAATCCAGATCAATAATAGTGTGTAATGCTTGTTTAAATATCTATCTTGCACACTTAAAATTGATTTACTTTTTTAAATAGATATTCCACATCAACCTTCACCTTGCTCAATTTCTACAACTTCTCATAATATTTTATATTTGTATTTTTATTTATAATTTCCATTTTATTAATTAGTGTAACAAAAATAAAAATTATTTGACCAAGTGAAACAAATCAATCAATCAGCCAATTAATTCTATATTGATAATCCAGAGCCTTGCTTGGGAGTAGAGGCAAGTTAATATAAAATTATTTTTTTACAAATAATTCATTTGTATATAATAAACATTTTCATAATTTAAAACAAATTAGTTCTTTTTTGTTTAATAAAACACTTTTATGGTCGGAAATTAAACAGTAGGGTTTAACCTCCATTTGGTTATAAGAGTGGTTAAAGCAATGAATTTTTTTTTTAGATATTTGTTTTAGTAAGGTTTAATTTTTGTTAATTGACCATCTATACAAGTCACTATCACACATATTGATTTATTTTATTGTTGCAAACATACAGCTGACTTCAATTGGACAAAGAAAGTAAAAGTAAAGCAAATAAAAGTAGAGCTCCGAACGAGTCGGGTCGGGTCGGGTCGGTGGTTCAACCCGACCCGACTCGAACTTTTAAACAGTTGACCCGACCCGACCCGTCGGGTCAACGGGTCACAGATTA